ACTCTTGGAAATGTATTTTTTATGTCTATTAGTATTGGATTAAATAAAAACATTTTTTAATTTAACATCAATTTTGGTTATAAACAGAATATTCAACAAAGTTCAATCACTAATGAATAAAAATTAGTATCTTTAGTAACTGTATTGATCTTGGAAAACTACTCATGTACTCTCTGTTTTCTTAGATAGGTTATGTGGTTTTTATAAAGATAAAACTAAACTATTTGATTATGTTAAACTTAAACTTGATGTTTTGAAAAATACTTGAGATTTCTCAGAATACTCACATGATTTTTTAGTGTGCAGTTCCAGTGCATGAGTCAGTGGTGAAGAATGCTAACTAGGTCATATGATGAACTAAACAGCCTCTTGTTTGTTTAGAAATCAGGCGAAGTTTCAAAATGATACCAGTTTTCTTTAAAATGTCTTCTTAAATAGCTTCTTTTGTGTGCTGGTTTATTAGTTGTTCATGTAATAGATGTAGGGCTAGGCCTTTGTCTTATTTGGGATTTCTATTGCTTTGATAAAACACGATGACCAAAAGCATCTCTGGGAGGAACAGGTTTATTTTGCTTACACATCCACATTGTAATCTACCACTGAAGTCAGGGCAGGAACTCAAACAGGGATGGAACCTGGAGGCAGGAAGTGAGGCATATATTGTGGAGGAGTGCTTACTTGCTGGCTGGCTTTTCTGGCTTGCTCAGTACCCAGGTCTGCCTGCCCAGAGGTGGCTCCACCAGGTAAGCTGGTCCCTTCCACATTAATCATCGATTAAGAAAGTGCACCACAGGCTTGCTCACAAACAAATCTGGTGGGGACATTTCTTTAACTGAAGTTCCCTCTTCCCAAATGACTCTAGCTTGTGTCACGTAGACATAAAAACTGGAGGGCACAGTATTGATTATCCACATTAGTTGAAGTTGTATAATTGATTCTGTTTTGTTTGTGTTAATTGTTTCCCTTTAGTTATGAAGAAACTGGAAAACATGATGTCATTCTTTAGTTGACTAAGGGTATATTTGGCTGTTCAGTCAATCTTAACATTTCTGAAACAGAATTAAAAGATAAAATGGTAATCATTTTATCAGATATTTTGTGAGAAATAAAATGCAAATTCTTGGGAAGTTTATTTATTGACTAAATGCCTAGGAGCTTGGGTGTGTTCTTATAGATAAGACTATACTTAGCTTTGTAAGAAGTCACCACTCCATCTCAACACTACCCACTATAGTTTCATCTTTTACTTTGAGGTCTTTAGTCTGTTTTGGTATTTATCGCATTATTTATTAAGCACTAAGTGGAATTATCCCAACTTTACTTTTTTCCATTCAGCATACACAGTGCTGATAGTTTTCAAACTATTACCTGTTTCCAAGCACAATGGTACCATTACTGAATAGTCCTATTTTATTTCCTTCTGATTTGAAATACTACATTTCTATAGTACTTTCCAACCTGTATTTGGATATATTTTTGAGTTTTCTCTTTAATGTCATACTGTGTCTGCTATATGTGTGTTACTTATGGATTTAGTTGATAAAGCTTTGTAATGTGTTTTAATACTTGATAGGACTAGTCTTCCTCATTGCTTTCTTTTCTTAATTTTTAAATTTTTAAAATTGTAATTGAAATATAATTACATCATTTTCCGGTTTCCCTTTTCTTCTAACCCCTGTCATGTTCCTGCCTTGCTTCTTCCCAGATCGTGGTCTGTTTTTCTTTGTTGTTGTTTTTTACACACACACACACTCACTCACTCACTCACTCACTCACACACTCACACACTGCTTACTCTGTGTGTATGCTTTTCAGTGCTGACCACTTGGTTTTGAATAACCAGTTAGGGGCATCTTTCCTGGGGAAGACTAATTCTCCCCCTCTCCAGCATTCAGGCATTCAGCATTCCTAAGTTGCCAGTAGCATTAATGCACTTAGGAATTATGCTGGCCTAGTAAAGTAGTGGTAATAGGTTCTCCTCTAAGATCCATTGTCTTATTACCATAGGTAGTTGGCTAGGTTTCCAGTAATAAGTATGATTTTCCTATTGAGAGGGATTTAAATTCAGTTAGAGAGCTTTTGGTTTCCATTCATGAATGCCACTATTACACCATTTAGGGTATCTTGCCATATTTGGTTATTGTTGTGGTTTATAGAAATCACAGCAGGGTAGGACTTCTCTCTTTTGGCAGTTTGTATAGAAACTTCTGGCACTATGAAAGCTCAAGGAGGTGGTATTTAGGCAAGATCTAGATTGAATCTTCCAGATCCTGTGTTCATGGTATCCTCAGCAATAATAGGGAAGCATCAAAGGGCAACTATAGTATCCTGCGGTGTCCTACATTGTTTTAGGAGGCTCTTGGACTCCCTCTACCAACAGCTCAGAAGGAGATTTCTCATGCTGGCTAGTGGGGTTTTGTTAGGGGTCCATGGCTCTTGGGGGGGGAACATTGTTAGCCTAAGTCTCAAAACTTCATTTAAGATACACACACCCCCCACACAATTAGATAAATATAAAATGTTCCCTTTAGGTGTTTTCAGATTTATCCCTCCTCCTTCTCCTTCTCCTTTGTTTTGCTATCCCTTCCCAATCAAAGCCTCCCTTCCCACTTGACTTTCATATCACTTTCATCCTGTTCCTCTCTTTGTTTATCTTACCCGTTCTTTTGATCTTCTCTTCTGTCCCCATATACACTTTAGAATTGGCTTGATTACTTTAAAGGCAAAACTTTCCCCCATTAATTTATTCATTGAATTTGTTCTTTGATAATTGCATGTATGTAAAAATGTATCCTGATTGTCTCCCCTCCACATCCCCACACCTCATTTTGTCCTTTAGTTTTACAATTTTATTTTGTTTGAACAGGGCTATCTACACGGCCATGAGATTGGAACTATCCATTAGAACCTGGTGGTTCTCCAGTGGGAACAAAACTGAAGACAGTGACTCTCTGTCTCACAGAGTCTTATCAATATCCTACAGTAGCAGTAAGGGGCATAGTCCCATGATTCCTCCATTCACAACTGATCATTGAGGGCTTGTCTTGTACAGGTCCAACACAAGTAACTGTATCTGCTGGGAGATGATTTCAATCCTGAATAGAGGATGAAAAATGAATTGTTGTGGTCTGAGCCCTCATTTATTACTTGGGTCTCTGCATTGATTGCTGTTTACTAGAAAGATAGGCTTTTCTTATTAGGGTTGAGAGTAGCCTTTGTCTAAGGGCATAATGCAGACATTTAGAAGACAGTTTAACATTTTTGTCTAAATAGCTTAAATCGACATCAGCAGTAATTTCCCTCATAGATCCTGTGACTTTGCAGGGCATGAGTTTCTCATCCGTGGAGTGGGCCTCAGGTCCAGTCAGAAGTGGTTGGTTAATGCCATATAACAGTTGTGCCACTGTTGCACACGGGTCACATATCCCTGACAGATTAGTGTTGTAATATGTGGAGTTCACTGCTGAAAAAGTTTTTTTTCTTCCCCCAGTAATCTGTATAATCCTCTCCTGCTAGCCAGCAGGGAGGTTTCCAGGTCAGTTTTAGCTTGATTTCTCTATATCTTGCAACCAAGATGTATAATGTCTTAAACAATAAGTCTTGCTTTGTATTGTTTTTGGGCCTCAGGGGCCTCACTGACAAATTACTCATATGGAGATTTCCCTCACTTAGCACTAGAATTTTGGTTCAGTGTGTTGCCATACAGGGCATCACCCTTCAAACTTTTATATAAATTTTATATAAATTGAATTAGAAGATTGTGGGTTTTCATATGGCCTTTTCATGGCTCTGTATTTTTTATGTGTGCACCCCACTCCCCATTTTCTACATTCTTACCTGTGTGCTGCGATCCTCCTCACTAAGGTCCTTTTCCTACCCCCACCCCTGACCTCTTTCTAGTTTTGCGGCTTCTGCATATACACCAAGTTAAACACACACACACACACACACACACACACACACACACACACACACACACACACACACACAGAGAGAGAGAGGGGGGGAGATGGGCTAGGAACCTAAGAAAGAGAACATGTGACATCTGTCTTTCTGGGTTTGGGTTGCCTCACTTAGTATTCCCCCTCACTCCAGTTGCTTCCATTTACCTGAAAATTCAAATTTTAAGTTTTCTTTACAGCTGAATAGAATTTCATTGTGTATATGTACTACATTTTCCTATCCACCGAGATGGCATCGAGGCTGATGCCATTTCCTATCTTGACAACAGGGTAGTGGTGAATGTGGATACGCAGGTATTTCTGAAATAAGACAGATTTCTTTGGGTATGTATGTGCCCAAGAGTGGTATGGATGAGTCATGGTAACTTTATTTCTAGTTTTTTTGAGGACCTTCCAGGCTGTCTTCCTAAGTGATTACACTATTTTAAATTACTGCCAGCGTGTCAAAGGATACTTAACTCTGTGTTACATAAGCATTTGTTGCCACTATTCTTGATGATGGCTATTTTTACTGGGGTGAAATGGAATTTTTAGTAGTTGTAATCTGCATTTCCTTCATTGCTTAGGATATTGAAAAAATTATGAAGTGTTAAGAAAGTCGTATGTATTTCTTCTGTTGAGAACTCTTTGTTCAGTTCTATACCCCATTCTTGATCGTCTTGTGTTTTTGAAGATTAGCTTTTTAAATTTCTTTTATATTCATTCTAGTTACTAATCTTATGCCAGATGTATAACTGGCAAATATTTTCCATTCAGTGATAAACTCCGTCCCTTAACCTTTGCATTGTTGTCTACATGGCCTCTCTCTTGGGTTGATTGCAAGTGTTTCCAATTTTACTCACAATTTTTAATGCAGAATTAGTTTGAAATGCCTTATCTATGCCTACTAAGCAAGGAAACTTGATGATAACATTTGGAAATTTTAAAGGAACTAGTATATAGTTTTCAGATGTCATTAATAATCTAACTCTTGTACAATATTTTGCCTTTCATACATGAAGTGGAGAGAGATTTATTGTTAAACTTCTCACTTTTTAGACCTAAAGACTGTCTTCGTTCTATTATGAGAAGAGTGAACCATAAAGACCCCCACGTCGCTATGCAAGCTTTAACTGTAAGTAGCCCTACTTAAAACAAGCAGCATTGTTTAACTATCATTCAACATTTAACCCTTTTAATTTCTTGTTTTATCCTTATAGCTTCTAGGAGCATGTGTATCAAACTGTGGCAAAATTTTTCACTTAGAAGTATGTTCAAGAGATTTTGCTAGTGAAGTAAGCAACGTATTAAATAAGGTAAGGAACATTATGCTCAAAAATCAAGGAAGCCTTCATTTTTATGTATTTTATTGTTAAGTTCTTCCCTTTTTAAATTCCAGAGAGAGAGAGAGAGAGTGTGTGTGTGTGTGTGTGTGTGTGTGTGTGTGTGTGTGTGTGTGTGTGTGTGTGTGTGTGTGTATGTATGTGTTCCTAGACTATAAGAACTGTGTTTCCTTGAAAAGACTACAAATTCACATAAATTTTTGTGTTAGTTCTTTTGCAAACCACATTAAAATAGGTTTAGGGTCCTTCTATCCCTTCATCTGATAAGAAAACATATTCCTATATATTTAATGAAATAAATACCTATCTTCTTTTGGTACTTTTGGGTACTTTTTTTTTTTTTTTTTGGTTTTTCAAGACAGGGTTTCTCTTTTCTCTGATTTGTTTTGGATGCTGTCCTGGAACTTGCCACCAATGCCCGGCAAGAGTTTTTTTTTTTTTTTTTTTTGAGACAGGGTTCTCGCTTTGTAGACCAGGCTTTGTAGACCAGAGATCTGCCTGCCTCTGCCTCCCGAGTGCTGGGATTAAAGGCATGTGCCACCAGCGCCTGGCTTGGGTACCATTTTTGTATCTACACAAAGATATTCCCCTAATGTAGAATCCTTCATAAGAAGCTGCCAGAATTTAAGGTCCTGCTGAATCTTCATCTTATGTAAACAGGGACACTACCTGACGCCATCAAAGGGTGTTCCTACGTATTACTATTCTGTTGGGTCAGGCCTATAGATGGAGTTGCTCCTAAGGTTGAGGCAGAGAAGTTCTTACTAGGGACTGCCCCAAAGCCAAGACTAAGCCAGTTGTGATTCCAAACTAAGAAGCACTCAATTCCGGGGGTATCAGCCTCATACTAGTTGTTAAGTAGAACTTAGATATTGAGGACAGCAGAATCCTCATAATAAATAGACATTGTAGAAAAGAGATAGTCTCTCCAGATATATCTGTAATGAAGGTAGCTGATTAGAGAATTATAGGAAGACTGTAGACTTAGAAGTTACCCAAGGTCAGGACTGAATTCTATGTTTACCCACATGTTTGATCTTTAGTATTACAGCCAAGAATTCGAACAAGCCTGGTTTATTTGCAAGTCTATAGAGGAAAACATGAAGGTGTTCTGTGTTTGTGTGTTTTTGTCTGGACAAAGAAAGCAAGAGAGCTGGGAACTCTAATACTGCTTATGTAATTGCATGTCAGAAAAAATTCAGTGCATAATTCAAGGAGTCTAAAAATATAAAAGTAACAGTTTTTCTAGTAAAAGATTCCGTGTTTTATAAGTAATTATTTCTGGCTCAAACTATTTGGTATTGTATATCAAGAAAAGGGTTTTAATGTTAATAGGGGAATTCCTCAGGCGATTTTGAAGTATATGAGTACTTCTGAGTTTTAGTAGAAAAGCTTGTACAGAAATGGGAAAGGAAATAAAAAGTTTATAGGTCTCAGTCATGATTCCCTTTTCTGTTTCAGTGAATCACACTTGTCTTTTTTTTTTTTTTTAACTAATGAAAGAACATGTCTTACAGTGTTCTGAATGTCTAGGGAAAGGGGTGATTGTTTAAGAAGATTGCTAACAATTTTCTGTAATTTTAATTAAGATATAGAAAAAAGTTACGTAGTACTATAAACAGCTGTTTGGAAAGAAAGGAACATACAAAGAGGGGACTTTAAATGCTTTTAGTTTTTTCCTCGAGGGGAAGGTGCTCTTTGGAAGAAAGGGAGCTCCTAAGATGATCAGCATGTAGCATACCTCACACAGACCTCACTCAAGAGTCATGGAAACCACAGGTGTGAAAATTGAAAGGAATGGGAGAACCATACAGTTTATTCTCTCTGTCCAGTTTTTTTTAATATAAATAGCTGCAAAATAAGTTAGTTTTCTTTGTCATGCTGATGTATAAAGCATGTAAAGTTGTAAATTACACTGAAAAGGCCTGTCATTCCAATCTCCAAAGTAAGTTATTACACATTTAATGTTTCAGTTTTGCAGTGAGATATAGGTAATAGTATCTTTCATTGTTTTTTCATGGTATGAAAGTAATGTTGATTTATAGATGCTAACTGTTATTTTCTTATTTTCATATGTATAATCTACTGCTATAGAAAATGAACATATACATATACATGCTACATGTATGAATTTAATTTTATATTTAAAATGGCATCTCTTATAAAGGGATAATTTGTAATTTTAAAAGGTAACAGTTTAGAATTTTTATATTTTTAACTATACAGTTTTTCTTTTTTTTTCTATTCCTTAGGGTCACCCTAAAGTATGTGAAAAATTAAAGGCTCTTATGGTTGAATGGACGGATGAATTTAAGAATGATCCGCAGCTTAGTCTGATATCGGCAATGATTAAGAACCTTAAGGAACAAGGTGTTACATTCCCAGCTATTGGCTCTCAGGTATTTTGTGAAGTTGTGTGTGCTATAATTTATTTTTTCTTTTAATGTAGCTATGTCTCAATTTTTCTCTTGCTTTCATTTATAGTTAGGTTTTACTGCTATAGAGTGGTTTGTAGAAGACTATTAGTGTACTGTAGACTCTTCTTTCCCAATACCTCTCCTTCAAAAATGAATTGTTTTAATGTTTTGCAATTTAAATTCTTTATTTAGTTATACTACAACAAAATTGTATTGGATCAGGTAACATTGGATAGTCTTGTTAAATGTTCTTAATGCTGTTATTTTATCTACAAAGAATGATAGCTTAAAAATTGGGCAATCTTTTTATTGGGAAATTTATAAGTACCTTTATTTAAATTAGGAGTTATAAGAGGCCAGTGGAACAGAAGCAAATGAGATGACTTTTATCTTTTTAAACGGGAGTTAAGTAGAGCTTGAGTCTTGCATTTCCTCTAAAAGATGTGACTGGTGCAGGGTTAGATTTCCTTTGGCACACAAAACTGTTGGTATAATGCAGTGAATTTCTGATTTGTGTCATACAGTAAAAAAATCAAAGGACATCCTTTAGATGTCTTTTCTATTCTAGGAAGCCAATCCCTAAGGGTGAATGCATAGTAATTTAGTATGTTTTCCTTTCCTGCTGTATGGATTGGAACACATTTTAACAGGTTATGTGGAACCATGATGGAACCAATCCCTTCTGTAAAGAGCTTACCTTCTGACTGTTGACCACTTTCATGAGTTATAAGATTGTATACTTTTGTCTAGATTTTCTTCCTAAAGCATTTTCATTTTATATAAGTGCTCTTTAGATATGAAGACCCAGAAAAATATTCAAGAAAGAAAGGAGCAAGTAGATCATTTTCTTTTTGCTTAAAAAATAGTTTTTAAAATTAAGTTTATTGTGATATATCTTAAAATTCATTTATATTTGATAGCTATATTTTATTAATAATTTTGAAAATTTAAAATTAATGATATTTAGGCAGAACAATCCAAGGTACTATAGAATCCTTGGTGACGTAAATAATATCTTATCAGAGAGTAGATGCACTGGAGAGATATAGAGTGGACTTAGTAGAATTGCATTTTCTATACCTGTTCTAGAACTTGTTACTCAAAGTGTGATTCATTGACCATCATCATGATTTCCTGGGAGATTATCAGGACTTCAGCCTCTGAGATGCCACTCCACAGCTGTGGACTCATTGTTTCCATTTAATAAGATCTCCTGGATGCTTTCCACTGTGAACATGGAGTTGAGAAGCACTGTTCTCGAGCACAGCCTTCAGTTTAAATGCAAATGCTTCTCATTTCACAGATGGAATTGCCCTTGTAAGAGAAGGAAACAGTATGATGTGTTTGACACAGAGCCTTCATCATTAGTCTGGAATCTTAGATAGCGATGTGAGCAACTCAGAGGTCCTCTACTGTAATCCCTTCATTTTGCACATGAGATAACTGATTCTGAGAGTGGCTGGAGGAAGGACACCACTGGCTAATTCATTTCATTGTTTTTAGACTGCCTGCTCTTGCTGCTTTCTGATCGTGTTCACTGGATATACTTCTGTTTAGATCAGGCTTCATGAAGCATGAAATGTAGTAGTCACTGGCAAGAGAGAGCATTTATTATTGATTGGTGTAGAAATTATATTATTCTTTTCAGATTATTTCACATGTAGAGTACTGATCCTGAAGACTTTATATATATATATATATATACATATATATATGCAAAACTATTTTTATTTTAATTATTTTTTTGAGCTACAGAAAATTGCATGGAAAGTAAATTAATTTCTGAAAAGCTTGTCATTAGAAACTATAAAGATGTATTTAATGAAAAGCAAATGATATGGGTCCAACTGCAGAGTCTCCTGTAGACTTTAGAGCTACTTAGCCACTGAAGTCCCTGCTGCAGTTTCATCAAACTAGATTTTTATCAGCAGACTTCATAAAAGCCTCTGAAGATATAAAGGCTTTTCTAAACCTATTTTTTTACTCAAAGACAGAAGAAGATGATGTGAAGATGTTGTGGAAATCATTCGTCACACCAGACTCATGCTGCACAGTCCTGTTAGCACTTGACGTAGTAGTAGAAAACTAGAACTGCTGCCGTGCTGACTAGTTAGTGATAAGAATCTTGGTTGGCTAATACTCTTCTTGATAGGAGCTGAAGACCAAGCACACAGTTTAGCAACACGTTGCTTCATATGGCTTTTTTTCTATACTTCCATCTTAGTTTGTAGAGAGTTTTTCTCAAAGAATGTAAAAATATCAACTTACGTTTGTGTTAAGTTCAGCAAATAATGAAAAAATTCATATAAATGATAAAGGCTGTCTCTGATCAAGTATACTTAAAACTTTGAGATGTGTATAGTAGTCACAACAGAATCTAAGAGTCTTAAGTGTATCCATGGGTCAGAATTAAGTGTGGCCAAAGTTGTGTTTAAGTGAACATATGGAACTGAATAAAAACTGCCTACGCATTTGATAATGTACAATCAGTAAGTGGCAAATCTGCAGTTGTATTTTGTTGTCATGTTGACTGTTTGCCTTGCATTACACTCAGCATACATTTTATTGATTGCTTGTAATAGTGAGACACATTCTCTCAAGGAACATATAGTCTGGGAGAGACAGAAACTCACCCTAGAAGCTGAGATTTACCGCCCTTTGCTATGTGTCAGCCATTGTTCTGAGTACTGTACATGTGAAAATTTGAAAAATTCTTAAAAGTTTCACTTTTTTTAATTGATTGCAATAATGTCTTTATTGATTTGTAATCAAGTCAGTGATACATCATTTGCTGTTTACTCCCTACCTCAGCATCTCTTGTCGTAAATTACCTCTATACATTTTGGTAAGCCCCTGAATATAAATGTTCTGCTTTGAACCCATCTGATTTTAGAAGCTACACATGCAAATTTAGGCCTCTGAATATGTTGTAATGCACCCATGAGAAGCAGATGTTGTTATGTCCTTACTTTATTGTAGAAGTTGAGGCATCAAGAGTATCATGTGGCTAGAGGCACCTGATGTCATATGACTAGAAAGTGTGGTAGATGTGAATCTTACATTTGCCTAATTCTTCAGCTTATAATTTTTTGCCCCCTTTGGTTTTGCCAGGGGTTCTCAGTATGGTTTTGGAGGCTGTCCTGGTACTCGATCTGTAGACCAGACTGGCCTCGAACTCACAGATCTGCCTGCCTCTGTTTTCCAAGTGCTAGGATTAAAGGCGTGTGCCACCAACGCCCAGCTTCAGCTCGTATTTTTAATCATCTGTCTCATACTACCTTTTCCCAAATCCTTGTTTAACTACCAAAGGTCACAAAGAATGCTTAATTAAGGGTTTAGTAGTGTTTCATTGAGAAAGTGATGGGTTAGCTATATACTGACTATCGAGTTGGAACTTAGTAGGACAAAAAGAAAAAAAAAGTGATGGAGCACGGTGAACTAAGGTGAACTATAAACAGAAGCAAATATGGGCCATATGTGGAAGTTAGAGTGTGAGTCTACTCAGGAACCACTGTTACCTTCTGGGAATTAGCAAAGTAGGCTGCATTCTGATCTGCATTGAGTGAATGCATATCCTGAGAAGCTTAGAAGCTTCTAATTCCAGGTGTGAAGTAACACATGTTTCTGTCTGCACATTTTCATGTTTACAATATAGTTGTAAGCATTGATACACTGCCAATGATTTTAAGATTATATGAAATGCTCTTTTAAGATTATGTTTAGCCTTTAATCCCAGCATTTGGGAAGCAGAGACAGTGGATCTCTTTTGAGTTCAAGACCAGTCTTGTCTCCATAGTAAGTTCAGAATAGCTAAGTCTACCCAGAGAAACTGTCTGGAGCGGAGATGAGGATGAACTGTCTTTATTGCTATTTATAAATATGAATTCATTTATAGATTACTTTCTGCCTTTTCACCTGAAAGGAAATAGTAAAATACAACTACATAATTTTCTAAAGCTGTTTGTTTTTAAAATAATTCCATGCTTTCCTCTCCTGACCCCTTTACTAGTTCTGGAATTTTTCTGAAATCATAAAATACTGGTTTTGTTTATCATCATTATATTAATCTGAGGAAATGCAGATGTCTATCAGCCTGTTCAGTTACTTTTCATTTTTCCATTTGTGATGCTCCTTCCTCTTTCTAGTGGAAGGCCTTCCAGATTGGGTGTCTGTCTTCTTGAGAAGTCGGTAGTGGACTAATGAGAGGGGTCTTGCAAGGTTTTAGGTTAGGTACACATAGGGCAATTTGAGAACAATGCTCACTCCTTGTCTTTATTTTTCCATGTATGTTAGGCTGCAGAACAAGCGAAAGCAAGTCCAGCTCTGGTAGCCAAAGACCCAGGCACTGTGGCTAACAAAAAGGAAGAAGAAGATTTAGCAAAAGGTGAGTTTGTAAGTTCTGGAAGGAAGGAAAGAAGATAGGTCTCTGACTGAATACCGTTTCTTAGTGAGTCACAGCTTCAGATGAGCAGAGCTGTTTTAGTTTTTAAATGAAGTTTGTATTTTCTAATTTTTTAAAAATGTATTCATTATGTATACAGTATTCTGCCTGCGTGTGTGTCTGCATGACAGAAGAGGGCATCAGATCTCATAGATGGTTGTGAGCCATCATATGGTTGCTCTTAACTTCTGAGCTATGTCTCCAGCCTGAAGTTTGTCTTTTTATTACCCAGAATAACTTAAATTGTAATTTTTCAATAAAAATGTCATATTTTTGAAAGTTATTTTTATTCTTTCAGTGATGGGCGAATGTGCATAACTTGTAATGATTTGTTATTGTACGAGGGTATGCACTAGTCTGTTATAATATTGAAAGGTAATACTTTCAGTGTATTATTGACTATATTAATAAAGATCTTTAAAATCTCACTGTTTTGTAGCTATTGAGTTGTCTCTCAAGGAGCAAAGACAGCAGTCAACCACCCTTTCTACTTTGTATCCAAGCACATCTAATCTCCTTACTAACCACCAACATGAAGGCAGAAAAGTTCGTGCTATATATGACTTTGAAGCGGCTGAGGATAATGAACTTACTTTCAAAGCTGGAGAAGTTATTACAGTTCTTGACGACAGGTAATGGTTAATTATATATTGAACACTTGCAAAAATATATTCTATGAAACCCTTGTTTAATATCATTTTATTGAAAGTAATTACCAAGCATAATCACAATGTTTTTCTGTTTATTTTTTGTTCCATCTAGTAATTCAAATTGTTAAATCTTGTAAGTATTAAAGTTTTGAAAATATGGTGAATTGATTTGAAGAAAGTACATTATCTATTGATAGTATTCATACAGAACAATAGATCCATGTAAACCATAACAGTTTTATGCCTATGGTGTCATAGGGGAAGAGCTGCACAGCTTAAGGTTTTAAAGTTTTTATTGTTTTAGTCTTTTGTGTTGCCAAACCAACCTTTGAACAACAGAAATGTATTTCTCTTAGTTCTGAGACTGAAAAGACCAGGATCTGTAAGATTTAGCACATAGTTTGGGCCCTGTCTGGTTCAGACACAGCTGTGTATTCTGTGGTGTCACGAGTGGCAGAAGGAGCAAAGAATCAGGAATTTCTTTTATAAGGTCACAGTTTCCATTTAAAAAGGTTCTGCTATCATGAATCAATCACTTTCCAAAGGCACCACCTTCTGATTTCAGCACATGAGTTTTAGGAAGACAAACATTTGTTATATTTTAACATTTTCATGAAGAAGTTGAAATGATGTAAATTTCAAGCTGGTTAGCTAGAGTTGCATCATTCATTCTTTAGAAAAGGAAAAGTTTATTATAAACCTTCTGGCTTTCTGTATAGTGGGCACTGGAGACAGTTCTGTTTCAAGTTTTGTACTACAGGTGGTGTTATCTTCTGTGTGTGTCAAGTTGGGATGAGAAAACACTCTTTGTTAGTGTATGCATGAAAGAGTAGTGATTAGGAATGGAGATGTGGTCTAAGAGTCCACTTCCACATCTTAGTAGAAAGAGCTCTCGTGTTGGAGCCCAAGGGAGTACCTGACAAGTGTGATTTTAAGCCTAAGGGCCTCTTTTGGGGGAGAGTTAATAGCTTTTTATTGGCTTCTTGGAAGATTTACTGACCTTCTGAGGGAAAGAACTGTGCCTTCAAAAGCTTCTGTTGGTGGGACTCATTTCCTATTTGTTTCATAACCTCACACTAACTGATGGTGCCACTCAGGCTCTTGGCTTCTTGTTTGTGAAGATAGGCTACTATCTCCTTTACTGAATTGTTGTGGAGTTCCAGTCTGGTGATAATGCAAGTTAAATGCTGTGAATGGTAAATTCTTACAGGAATAAGTGTTTATTGTGGTAAAGCATTCTTTTTTGTCTGTCTTAGTGATCCTAACTGGTGGAAAGGTGAAGCCCATCAAGGCATAGGTCTTTTTCCTTCTAATTTTGTGACTGCAGACCTCACTGCTGAACCAGAGATGAGTAAGTAACTTTCGGTTTGTTGATGGATGATGGGTAATTCATAGTCTTCTTGATGAAAGTTGAGTAAACCCAGCGTTATAGGCGAATGGCTTAAATGTTTTTGCCTCTAGGTGTTTCAGCACTGACATTCCAGGCTCACTTGGTGGTGTGCATGCTTATAATCCCAGCTCTCCTGCAGTCCCAGTGTGTGGGGGAACGGTTGCTATGCAGTGAAGACCACCCTCAGCACATAAGACACCTTGTCTCTAAAAGCAAATAAATAAATAAAAGTCCTATCAGAAACAGTTTAAGAACTGAAGCCTGGTATTATTTGTTATATGTATCTACCATAGGCTATATGTATTAACAGTGAAGAAAAGCCTTTAACAGCAAATCAGAAATTAATAGATCTTTAATGAAATGGTTCTCTCTTATAGCTACTGACTTGTCTTTTTTCACTTTTGTAGAGTCAGATCTTGGTACTCATTCTTTTAATACAGTTGTTAGAGCTAAAATAATCATTGGAACTCAGGAATGTATAAACTTGGGGTCTGGAGAGATGACTTGGTTTTTAAGAGCATGTGCTGTTCTTCCAGAGGACCAAGTTCATTTCCAAGCACTCACGTTTAGTGGCTTACATCTTTATCTGGAGCTCCAGGGAGGTTATCCAGTGCCTCTCCCCTTCTTGGGCACCTGTACTTAACCATACTCTGACATGCAGACAGACATGTATGCATAGTTTTAAAAAAATACATTTAAAGCCTAGGTAAGCCTGTTTGAATGGCCTTGGATGGTATGTCATTTTTTTAAATAATCTGGTCAGCTTGAAGTGTTTGTTGTGTTTTGAGCTTTTGTATGTCAGCTGTTGGCAAGTTTAGAACTTAATTGGACTGTTGTTTAAAACGAGAGCCTAGATCTCACTCGTGTCTGTTATGTAGCTGCTTCATCTTTATCTTTCATCCAGCAATGGAGCTGTACTGTGAGATTTCTGATTCTTACATGTTTCACTTTAGTGTAAGAGAAACAGGAGGATAGGAACCTATCTAGTGCAGTAATAGCCTTCAGATTTAGAAAATGTGCTAGCAGGATCTTTGTAGCATCATTCTTTCACAGGAAGTAGAAGTCAAATTTACTTATCTGTCACATAGATACACATGCCTGACTTATTTTCTTTTGGAGACAGAGTTAGTTATTGTGAAAATATACTATTTTGTGTGTGTGTGTGTATATATATAGAGAGAACATATTTTGCATATCATGCATTTGGTATCATTTCCTATGAGAAAAGGGGCTGCAAACTTGTGCATTATCAGTTCTGTGAAATCTGCCATGTGTTTTATTTTGGGTAACAGCCAATGAATAGAGAGCTGTTCCAGCTTTCTACTTGATAATAGTACAAGATAGCAAACAGAATGTCTATAACAGATGTCTCTTTCCCCATGGGAAGATGAATCAGCCAATTGTGTTTGTGTTTGTTTTTTGTTTTTGGTATGTAAAATGTTGCTTTATAGTGAGTTGAATGGAACGAATATGTTCCTTACATTTCCAATTAAACAGACAATGCCAAAGCCCATAATGCATAACTTCTTTTCAAAATCAAGTCACAAGCCAGATTTCAGTAGTAAGGCAAAAGGACCAACTGACATTCAAGTTAAGCCTTTTAATTGCTAGTTTTCCTTGTGCAAGAGATTTTAATCTTTCTAAACTACTTATAAAAAAAAGCATGCCATATAGGATTGTTTTAGAAATTCATCAGAGCAAGTTAATATTGCCATCAAGCACATTGCGTCATATGATGAATATTATTATTATCCACAGTTCCTGCTACTGTGGCATTTCCCTTTTCACTTTTATCCCTAACATTTCCATGTCTGATTGACCTCAGTGATACAAGGTAAAGAATGCTTTGGTGAGCAAGGGAAATCTCTTTAAGGCCAGTTGTTTGCTGAATCTTACCATGTTTCTCTTCTGAGTACAATGAAACTAGAAAATCAGGCTCACATGCTAGCCATTGCAGATTCCTGTTTAGGCTACTGCATGGTTCTTTACTGGCCTTGATGTTACTCTCTACATATATTTTCCAATTCATTATGCTGTAGTAATGTGGTATTTCTACCAAAGAAAATTTTTCTTTTGAATTGTCTGGTCATCTAAAAAGAATTGTTTTAAATTACAGAATTCATTTACACCATATTAAACTTTACTTTGTAATAATTTATTGAATTTTGAAGTAGGTAGTTTTTATTTCAGAAGCTTAATTTATTTTTAGTGAGATGGCTTATAGGAAACAAAGATCTTTGAGAGAAAATTGGGTAATTTTATAAAGTGATATTCTGTCATTTTCTAAGATGTCTTCAGTTTCTAAAGTCCATAGTCTCTATTAAGACTTAAACTTTTAGGTACATTTTAAGGAAAATATAATTTTTATTTTTTTTTTCAGTTAAAACAGAGAAAAAAACAGTACAATTCAGTGATGATGTTCAGATAGAAACGATAGAGCCAGAACCAGAACCAGCCTTCATTGATGAGGTGAGTGATTTCCTTGTTAAAGTGGCGTGTACTTTGTATGTGTAAAAGCTGGATTCTTGTTTTCTTGTTCTGAAAAGGTTAACAATATAGATAGAGCATACATTTTTCTTACAGTTTTTTTGGTTCCATTTTTACCTTTCTTAGGTCTTGTTATTTATCCTGCTAAAGGTTGAAGGTATAGCTCAGTAGCTAAACATTTTGAGTAGCATGTGAAACTCTGAATTGATCTTTAGTGCTATAGAAAGGGGGTAATATAAGAATGAATATAACTTTCTGTCTAGTATTTTATTGATTGGATATACACTGATGTATATAATTGTTGGGCACTTGGGCAGTTTCCAATTTTAATTGCTATCAAACAATATATATAGTCAGGGTTTTTTGTTTGGGTTTCTTTTTTAACATTTGTTTTTCTTAGCTTAGATATCCAGGGATGGAACTTCCAAACTGGAGGATCTGTGTGTTTTTCATGTTAATAGGTACTGTGAAATTGTTGAACAGGAGGGAGATTTTGTAGTTTTGTTTATGCTTTATAAGAATACCTGCTTTTCCAGATACTCAGCAGACATTACACTTGTACACTACAGAGTATGGGACACATATTGTCTGTTGAAAGAATAAAACAAATGTGATGGTTTTTAAATGAAGCTGTTATTAAATTGCTACTACATATAAACCAGTTAAGTGAAATGAATTGTGCTTCTTCCTTGAATTAAACACATTTGAGTCTTTGGGGAAAGCTTGTTAATTTTATTTTAAAACCTGTCCATATGTCATTGTTAATCTGAAACAGTGATTATTTTCTGTAGTTATGTTTGAAAATATGCCTAGTTGCAACTGTAACAGTGTTTTTTATAGTCAACTTGGTAGGTTGTAAGTTTGTTTTACAGTGCTGTAGATTAACCTAGGGCTTTGTGCATGCAGGGCCAGCACTTTACCCCTGGGCTTTGTCTCCAACTCAAACGTGTTATCTCTGGAATTAAGTAAATATGTCATAATTCCTTAGGCTGCATGGAAATCTGCTATTAATACATAGGAAGAAAATATTAACATTCGTTATGTTTTTATCTTTAATCATGTTTGCAGCTGTATATTTTTAAATTTATTTTTTTATGTGTATGAATATTTTTGCTTGTATGTAAATCTGACCACCATGTGCATATTTGGTGCCTGTGAAAGCCAGAAGAGGGCTTGTGTCTCCTTAGAACTGGAGTTACAGACAGTTGTCAGCTGCCGTGTAGGTGCTGAGAATTGAATCCTGGTCCTCTGGAAAAGCAGCCATTCTCTGCTGCTGAACCATCTTTCTAGCCCCTGAAATTACATTTTTATATTCAAATCTATTAATAGTATTGTTTTGAATAGTAATATCAATATTGTATTGAATTAACTTATAGTAAATTACATTATATGATGGAATCAGCAAGGATGATTCCAGCAGGTCAAATTTGAAATATAGTTACATTTTCTCACAGTTGTATTACTTACATACATATATATGTACATATTTTCTGTCTACCTTTGTCCAGAAGTTACTAAAGATATCGTATAGTCCTCATGCTGACTATCTGGCCCTTGGTATAGATCAATGTAGAACACTTTTCAGAACTTGGTTTTCTTGCATTTGTTTCTTGTATTAGAAGTTGATGTGCTTGAGACCACTTCCTGCCATGATTTTCCATTTTCTTTCTCTGCTTTTACATTTGTTTTTCCACTGTACAGATAAAAGTCTCATCCTGTGCCCACAATGAGCCTTACTGTGATTGATTTCTAGCAGCATTTCCAAATATTGGTGGTGGTTATGACTAGGCAGCACAATGAAATGGTTTCATACATTTTTTGCAACAACAATAAAAAAACATGAGTACAGTGAATTGTCAGCTTATAGATTATTAAAAGCAATTTAAATTTTTTTTTATTTTACTTCATATTTGGGTATTTTGCCTGGATTTATGTCTGTGCACCACTTGCATGCCCGGTGTCCACAAAGGCCAGAGGGGGCATTGGGTTTCCCTGGAGCTGGAATAACAGATGCCATGTGGGTGCTGGGAATTGAATGTGGGTCCACTGAAAGAGCTGCCAGTGTTCTCAATTGTTGAATCATCTCTTCAGCCCCTAAAAATAATTTTTAATGATAATCTACTGAAGATTCTTGTTGTGGCACTCAGAAGCGATGGAAATAATTCCGTGGTACTGCTCTAATAGCTTGAAATATAAAAACAAGGTTTCTCATTAGTTTCACCTATGATGACATAAGATATGAATATGAATGACCTTGAATCCTGGCTCATTTGATTCTTTTAAATTTGAACTTTGTTACTTCAATCTATTATATACTAGTAGAAATCATTAATGCATAGAGATGATTTAAGTCTTAACAGTTTATATACATTTTTTTATTTCAGAGAAGTTTGACATAGTCTTCTAGAAGACTTTAAAGTACATTTAGATAAATTTTTGTAGGAGATAATGAACAGAAATATAATGAGTTTAAGGAGAAAAACGATCAATTTGGAATTGCTGATTTAAAAGCAGTTGTTTGTTTTTGTGGTTGGGGGATGGAACCTAGAATCTTTGTACATGCCAGGGAAGTGGTCTTCTAGTGAGCAGCCTGGTCTCAATGGTGGTGTGGTGCTCCTTTGTCTTTGAGAGAGACAAGAATGTGGATGAGTGCTAAGTACTAAGGAATCCCACTGAGCCAGAGACTTTCTGCTTGTTACATAAGGAAATGTCTGAGTACTCAATTGTGGCTCATAAAGAAACCATGTTGCGTTAACAGGAGATGAACGTTTCTGCTGCCTTTTTAAATGTCTTAAAATGAACATGAATCTTTTACCTGAAAGAACATCCATTTTAAAGTACAGGATTCATTTGACTTGACAGGAGCTTTCCTCTGCTTCCATCTCTCGAACCGTCTGTATTTGAAGTAATAGTTTTACTCAGAATCTGTAGTCCTTAAATTATTAGCTGTGTTTACCTCTGTGTATTAGCATCACTATATAGAAAATCTGAGTGAAAAGTGTGTAATAATTTTCATAGAATTTGGTAAATGAAAAGACAGATCTTGTATAATGTATGAGTATTTATGCACCTGCCTTTTTTTGGTTCCTTCAATCCTAAGTATTAAAGGATACTGAAATAGACCCAAGTAAGTGGTTTGAGATAATATCATCCGTCTTTCCCACAAAAAGAATAAACCACAAGTTTTTTTCTTCTTTTTTGACAAATGGAAATGTTGATGGAAAGAGAACTTATTAAATCCTTAAAGCTCCACTTAGAAGAACAGCTGTGAAAGGCCTGAGCTCTGCCTGTGGAACAGCTGTCTTACTCACTGCCAGTGAGAAGTAATGACTGAATTGTTAGTCAGAGCAGGCTGTCTTGAGAGGGATGTTCCATCTGTTGTGTGGCTAAGCTACAGATGCTCCAAAACAGTGAGATTCTTGAACATTATATAAGAGATGGGGGAAATTATACCTTGTAACAGGATGTCCTGTTCTAATATGAACATTTTGAAAAATAACTACAAATAGCATGAAAGGGTCTGATTTTTGCATGGTGCTAAAGGGAACACATAAGATATTAAAAACAAAAGAAAATTAACCTTTCTAACTATGAACTATAAAAATCTTTAATCTAAAACTGGGTGGTGGCAGAACATGCCTTTAACTCAGGAGGCAGAGGCAGGTGGATTTCTGTGAGTTTGAGGCCAACCTGGCTTACAAAGTGAGTTCCAAGACAGCCAGAGTGGTTACACAGAAAAACCCTGTCCGAGGGTGTGGGGGGAATCTATCGGTAATTGAGTTGTCAAAGTGAGAACATAACTTTTTATAGAGATTGGATACTTTTTGACAGTAGCTGTTTAATTTCTATAGGATAAAATGGACCAGTTGTTACAGATGTTGCAAAGTACAGATCCCAGTGATAATCAGCCAGACTTACCAGAGCTGCTTCATCTGGAAGGTAAACCTCTTTTTCTGTCTACCTTGCAAGCAAAGAATAACCAAAGATCTCACTGTACTGCTCTAGATGGCGTTTGAGAGTGACTTTAGAAATAAACATTCATTAGACCTTCTTCCTGTGCCTGTCTCACCTTCACGTGCTGTTTAAATCTTGAGTAGAGGTTGGAATCACAAACCTTACTGTACAAATTATTTTATTCAGCATCTTAATGAAAAAAATTGAAATCAATATTTTAAATTGTCATCATTATACTTTAAGAAAATGAATTTTAGGTTCTATAATTAATATTTTTTATTACTTCACATTAAACTTTTCATTTCTTTAACGAAAATTTTTTGGAAGTTTACTTTCTTTTCTCATTTTCTTATTTCTTCAAAAATTGTCATTTTAGCAATGTGTCACCAGATGGGACCTCTCATTGATGAAAAGCTGGAAGATATTGATAGGTAAAGAACTTGTTCTGTGTTGAATTGTGTATCTTTCTGAAAGCATTTCAGTAGACTGCCATTTTAAAAAGGTACTCGGGCCTGTAGAGATGGCTCAGATGGTAAAGTGCCTGCCACATAACTGCAAGGACCTGAGTTTGGATCCTCGAAGCCCACATAAAAAGCTGGGCATGGTTGTGCATGTGTGTAAACCTAGCCAGGGTGGTGAGGGTGGTAGAGGAAGGAGGAGGTATGGTGCAGATGGGCAGATTTCTGGGGATCTCTGTCCATCCAGTCCAGGTGCACCGATGAGATTCAGGTGGGTTAAGAGATCCTGTCTCAAAACGAAAGGTAGAGAGCCATAGAGAAAAGACACCCAGTGTGCCTCATGCTTCTGTGTGTGCATACAGCTGTCACACACAGCACACACAGGCAGTACTTCAAAGAACCACTCTTTATTCACCATTCTCACCTTGATTTGGACTCATTTGCCCTTCCTTGAAAAGCAGGGCTTCTGTGGGCCTTCACTGTCTTCCTCTTTTTTTTATATAATTGTACTTACTGAGGTGGCATTACAGAGCCCACAGGCTGGCATCTGTTGACAAGTGAGCAGATCTGGACAGTTCCAGGTACAGTCAAGTACTCCAGCATGGGATCTAACCTGAAAACATGTTTCTGTTGTCTCAGAGTCAAGGGAGAAGGTTTTTGTCCTATCTATTGGTATTTAAAGTCACTATTTAGAGCATTGTATCATTTAGCAATTAAATTATTGTGTTTGTTTCAGGAAGCATTCAGAACTCTCAGAACTAAATGTGAAAGTGATGGAAGCTCTTTCATTGTATACGAAGTTAATGAATGAAGATCCAATGTATTCTATGTATGCAAAATTACAGAATCAGCAGTATTATATGCAGTCATCTGGTGTTTCTGGTTCCCAGGTATGTTTTGGTAAAGCTCAGGGATGTTGTGCAAATTCTTGAATGTACTTGAGATGTTTTGGAATGTGCGGTTTTTTGTAAAAAAAAATAATACATGCATATATATATGTGTGTCTTTGTCGTTGAGTATTAACACATGTGTGACTGGGCCCCTTGTTTGCCAGAAGAGGGTGTTACATTCCCTGGAACTGGATTTACAGATGATTTTGCACTGTCTGATGTGGGTTCTGTATCTCTCCAGCCCCAAATGTGTAATTTCTTCAGTATAATGTTTACAATGAAAAAATTGATAGAATTTTTAAAATTCACAAATACATGATACACTGAATGTGCCAGTCTATTCTGTATATATGTGTACACACATACACGTTTTTAAAGTTTTACTTTGTATGGGGATAAGAAGAAAAATTACCCACTAAGTAGTTTACTCCCACCCCTTTTTCTTTAAGCAAAAGTATTTTGATCCTACCCTAGACCTGTAGAATCAAAGTCTTTTTTTTTTTCCACATGAGAAGGGAGTTTTATTGGGGAAAGGGAAGGGGTAGGGGGAGATGTTGAGGGGGAGAGAGAGCGCACTTGTCTGCCTCCTCAGATAAATGGCCAGAATAAAAGTCTTTAAAGTTGAGGTTTGTTATAAGGTTTCAGGCTCAGTGGCTGAAGAGCACACACATGGTAGCTCATACCTGTCTGTAACTCCAACTCCAGGAGATTCAGTCCTCTTATAATGACATACATCCAGACAAAACACAAATGCCATAAAATAAAAGTAAATAAATCATTAAAAAAAACCTTTGGTTTTTCTATCATATTTTTTTTTAATTCTAATATTTTTCTAGTATCTACAACTTTATTTTACACTGAACCGAACCGTGTTCTTTTTATGATTTTTATTTTAAGTGCAATAGTGTTTTGCCTGCATTCATGTTTGTATGAGAGTGTCAAAACACTTACAGCTAGATTACAGACAGTTGTGAGCTGTCATTTGAGTGCTGGGAATTGAACCTGGGTCCTCTGAAAGAACAACCAGTACTCTTAACCACTGAACCATCTCCAGCCCTGGTTAAGTGTTCTTACTGAAGAGAATAGGGGTCACCCTTGAGTTATGAATGTGTTTAGACCATAGATTATGATTATGCTTTCAAGGGTATTATATGTTTATCTCCAACTCATTAAGTTGAATTCACTAAGTATGTGTTGTCCTTTGTATGTCGATCATGCTTTAGTAGATTTTGATAGAAGCTCCAAAGTAAAATGAACCATTTCCATTGTTATAAAAACTGTCTTAAACACAAAATGAATATGAACCCATCTGTAAGAGGAGGACCTAAATGCAGTGGGAAAATGAGTTGAGAAGCTGTTTGATATCAATGAAATAGAATAATCTGTACTCACAGAGTAGCCTTCATGATGAGGCTCCTTCTCCTTCCATTATCACGCATACATTCAACATGGAACCCTTTTTTCTCTTTCACCCCAAACAATTGCTTAAGAGCCCCTGTGCCACCGGGCGGTGGTGGTGCACGCCTTTAATCCCAGCACTGGGGAGGCAGAGGCAGGCGGATCTCTGTGAGTTCGAGGCCAGGCTGGACCGACAGCCTCCAAAACAATACGGAGAAACCCTGTCTCGTAAAACATAACAAAACAAAACAAAAAAGAGCCCCTGTGCCACCAGTTGAGCAAGTTTTGAATATAATTAGATGTCTGTTTTATCCACTTAGAGCAGTCACAAACTTAGCTCAGATTTTCTTGCATGACCCATTTCCCAAAAAACAAAGAAACTGGCATCTTCAGGAGGATGAATTCTCCACCCTCAAGTGGAGAATCAGGAGCTTGAATGGCACCTGCTCAATAGTTTCTGTCACTAGTTTGAGTTAAACAATCTTTCACATTGAATCTGCAAAGAGTAATAAAATGTATCCATGAGAACTTGTTTAGCTATACTTGTAATGAAGACTTCTGAACTTCTGAGTGTATCTGTGGCATTTAAAGAAGTATAAGGGTATTGGTTTCTTGGTGATTTTGTCAGTTGTCTTAGCCCATGAGAACAATCTTACAGTGTAGACAGTATAATGTCTTTTCAAATATATAAAAAGACTTTCATAGTAACTAAAAAAATGTTTTAAGACAGCTGGTAAGATGATTGCTAAAGAGGTTGGCTGAACATGTGTTAGTGCTTGCCTGTAATGCCAACATGGTGGAGGAGGCAGAAGCAGAAAGATTGCTTCATGTCTAAGCCCGCTTGGACCACATAGTGAGGCTGTACCAAGCCAGTCAGGGTTACAACCAACCTTCTTCAGAAAGAAAAGAACTTCTGCCTCATTAAATTTAAGTACAACAAACAACTAAGAACAGCTTTTAGATAAGAATTGGCAAAATAAGAAAATTTTATTGATCCCACTGCCTTCAGAAGTTAGTGTGTTCTCCATTTATTAAATTACAGTTTAGAAACTGTGAATTAATAAATACAGTCTGATGGGGGATGTCCTTCTGTATGCTGTGAATATATGTTTCTCTTATTGATTGATGAATAAAGCTGTTTCAGCCGATAGACAGGCAGGACCTAGCCAGGCAGGACGTACAAATGGGGCTACCAGACTAGAAGAATTTTGGGAAGAGGGACGCAGAGAGGAGCTGCCAGAAATATGCCATGTAGCTACTGGGAAAGTAGGACACATGGGCATTCTCTGATAAGATAAGGCCATGTGGAAATACATAAACTAATAGATATGAGTTAATAATTAAGAGAGAGCTAGGCAGTAAGAAGCCTAAGCCATCAGCCAAACAGATTATAATTAATATAAACCTCAGTGTGTTTATTTGGGACTAAATAGCAGCAGGACTGGGTGGGACAGAAGCTTATATCCACAACAGTCTGGGGCTATAAAACAGTGAATTCAAGTATACTTCCAAAGTGTTGGGATTCGTGTGTGTGTGTGTGTGTGTGTGTGTGTGTGTGTGTGTGTGTGTGTGTGTGTGTGTGTATGTATATGTATATATATATATATATATATTCATGTAATATATTCTGATCATGGTTTTCTCTTCCCTAGATTCTCCCCTCCTACATACTACCATAACTCCCCTGCCTAATAAACCAATAGTCAAACAAGCAAACCAGAATTGAAATAAAAAAGATTTTTTGAAAGACCAACATGAAAAGTATATCATGAGGTTAATATAGAGGTTATATTAGTATAAGATATATTTTGTTACTGCTTCTATGTAAAAGTAAAATCTGTTCATGTAATGCTTAAAAATAAAAATGTGGACCAGGAAGATGGCTCAGTGGGTAAAGTGCTTGGATTCCCAGCTCTCTTGTAAATGCCAGTTGGGCATGATAATCCTGGCGTATTGAAATACAGAGTAGCTGGATAGTTGAGCTTTGGCTGAATAGAAGGTGGAAAATGATCCAGGAAGACACCTGACATCAGTCTTTGGCCTCCACATGCTCCCACATACTCATACATGCATACACATTCCTGCAAGCACACACACTTTCAAAAAGATTATAAAACCATCAATCTGCTAAAAAGTGCTTTTCATAAAATTCCAGTTGATAGCAGTAACATTTAAAAGACGTTCTAAAGGAGCAATGTTTGCTGTTTTTGTGACTGAATGCCTCTGCTGAGTAAATTTGAAATAAGCATTAAAGTTATATAATGGAATGTTTCCCTGTCACCTTTTGTAGGTATATCCAGGACCTGCTCAAAGTGGTACCTACCTGGTTACAGGGAGTGCACAGATGAGCCATCTCCAGAGCTACAGTCTGCCCCCAGAGCAGCTGTCTTCCATCAGCCAAGGAGCAGTTCCACCCTCGGCAAACTCCGCTCTCCCTAGTCAGCAGACCCAGGCTTCTTACCCAAAGTAATTTCCTTATTGGTTATTTGGGGTTAATGGTAAATTCTCAGTTTGTTGCAGTGGTCTATAAGCAGAAACCTGGATAAGAAAAACTGGAGGTGGGCATTGCTGTTCAGACTGCTCCACCTGTAGTGTTGAGTAGGTTTTGGAAGAACCCAGCCTAATTCTTTTCCTGGAAGTAAGAAGGCTAGACTTTAAGAGTTCACTAGCACAGTGTTTCTTGGTAGCACAGGCACACTTTCCAGAAAGCAGAAGTGTCTGTAAATGCTCCTGTAAGTACCTCACCGTTGTAGCATCTGTCCACAAAGAGTGTGTGAGCTTTTAAAAACAGTTGTTGTGTTTAGGGTGCTAACGTGACTTTAAGGAAGGTAATGAAGCCCGAGTCTCAGGCTATGGTACAGTTCCAGGACCGTGTTTATGTTTAACACATACTGAACTGACTTACATCAGCTCCTCCATTTTGATGATGGGAAACTGAGATTGTGGACCAGGATCTGTCTCACTTAGCTAAGATCCAAAACCAGGTATTCTGGCTCTAGAGATTAATCACTGTACCTGCATACTGAAATCCCTTTCTCACAGGGTAGTACATTTGGAGTGATAATGGGAATGGTGTAGCATTAATATGCTCTGGGCATACTAAATGTCCTGTAAATGCTAGTTGTCTCCTTTTATGTTATACTCTTCATCTCGACTAACAGTTCCACTGTCCACATGGTAGCCAAGGCTAAACCCTGCAGTTCACACAAACTTCTTATCTCTCCTCTGCATTGCCTGTTTATCATGACAACTAATATGTAATTATTTGCTAATCTCCAAAATAGTCCTTTCCCGTTAATGTCATAGTTGCAGTTGGATATTAATAATTTCTTACCTAATCACCATGGCTGCACAGCTCTTTGTTCATTATGAATCAGTTTGCCCAATTATACATAAAGATGAGTTTCTCATCAGCTAAGACTCCAGTTCATTCATTCTGCAGTCCTCATCATTTTCTCCAGGTGTGTATCTCTCTTGTGATCCTGCCGTCCACTGTATTCCTTAGTAACTCAGTACTAACAGTGTGCTCTAATACATTCCAGGCTTTTTACCCTTCGTGTGTGCTCCTGCCACAGGTGCCATTGCATGCCATACTACCATATTTTTGTTGGTTATGGCTATGGAACATGTTTACTGTTTTTACTTCTTGGAAGGATACAACTTGGATCTATTTCCTTGGAAAACTTTCTCAAAGTTTGAGGCACCTTAATGCAGTGGTTACATACCTATATTTCTAATTTAGTGCAAAACAAATTGCATATTTTATATATTTCCTACAACTGGTATTATCTTGAAACTAAGATATGGAATCATTTGTATAGGAAGCATTTAGCATATGTTCACTAAGCTTTCTTTTTCATTTTATTGATTTTGCTTTTCTTCATGAGTATTTCCAGGTTTGTTGAGTTTATCACTCATTTCAAGGAGCTAATATTATTGAATGCTTTCTGTGGAATGGATGCTTTTGAAGTTAATTTCTCTTTATTATTCCCATCTTTTTATCATTTTTTAAATTTACATTCTTTTCTGACTTTGGAAGTATATGCCTATATCAAAGAGTCTCTTCTTGCAGGGAGACCTTCCTGGACTACCCCATTTCACATTGAAAGGACCTCATGTCAGTCACTTTAAAGAAATTGTTTTTGTCTGTGCCTCCCACCCCCCACTCCTCCAGTCACACATGTTCTTCACAGTGCTGGGGATCAAAACTATGTGTACCACCAGTTTGTACCTCATCTTATTAAATTCTTAAACATCTGTTTAATAGATAAAATAATTGATAAATACACAAGCTATGGTGACTTCATCACTTACTCTTCTCTCAAAGTCCTGACCCCACTATAGGTAGCTTTTGGAACCTGCATGAGTACACCTCCTAAATGAGCACCTTCCAAATGGCTTAGGGGACAGATGTCTGAAAAGCTCTTAATTCTAAAACTAAAACAGAAACAGTGTGTGAAGGAGTAAGAAACAGCCTCTTATGCATTCCCTTATTGGTTCTCCAGTACAAAGTTGTCAGCCCCAAAACTCTTTACTTACAAACAAAAATGGACTCAATATGTATTTGTGCATACATATAAATGACACACACACATGTATTGAACAATCAGGGAAATAAAAACTAGCAATTTGAGAGTAGGGTGCATGGGAGGGGCTGGAGGGAGGAAAGAGTGGTGATGATAATGTGTGTGTGTTTATATATGTGTATGTGTGTGGTTGTGTATATATGTATATAAGATTTAAAAAGGAAAGAAAAAGAAGAAATAGCCTCCTAGATGTGTGTTCAAGAGGACTAGGAAAACCTGCCTGTCAGTCAGTAAAAATCCTTACGTCCTGGAAAGCTCAGTGTGACTCACCCCGGGCCCTGCTTTTTTCTTCCATTTTTTTTTTTTTTTTGTTGTTGCTTGTTTTTGTTGTTAATCCTTCATTTGCTCTGCTATCAGTTGCCTTATTTCTCCTCATAAGAACACACACATTTGTTTTCATACATGTATAGATTATAATCAACTCTTGCATTATTTTAGCATCTTTATGATACTCTTTCAAGGAATTGAAAAGCAGCAACCCACCTCTATCTCAATCTAGTATTTGATATTGTCATCATCAACACTTTGACATTTAAATATTACATATTCATCAAGTTTATGGTATAAAATTGTGTCCTGCAAAGATGGCTGTTAAAAGGGTGAAAGAAACTCAGTTCTAGCTCTTAAAGCTGCCATAGTTTTATAGTAGATACATAAAAATTGCAGCCACCAGAGGAAACAGTGACAGATATACAAGTGGGTTCTCATGTCACCCAGGAGCAACAGATAGAGAACCAGAAGGCAAACGTATCCTAGAGAAAATGAAGCCAAGCTAAGAACTGACTAGAGAACAGATAGAAGCCAGGCCAAAAAGGGCAAACATTTAAAAGACTTATCCTACAGAAAGCACCTATAAAATGCACAGGTGTTCCTTCAGAGGCAGCACTAATGTTCCACTGCATGTAAGGTCAGACGCATAAGCACAAAGACGCACATCTGAACTGGTACTGTCACAGGTAGCTGGTAGATGTGCTGGTAGTTGCTGTGTGTGAGATGCTCTTCTTAATGCTGTACGTTTTAGGGAAATAGAGAGATAATCGTGCTTACTAGTCCATTGAAACTATTCTGTCAGCCGGGCGGTGGTGGTGCACACCTTTAATCCCAGCACTCAGGAGGCAGAGGCAGGCAGATCTCTGTGAGTTTGAGGCTGGGCTGGACCGATAGCCTCCAAAACAATACATAGAAACCCTGTCTCGTAAAAAAAATAATAATAAAATAAAAAAATAAAAACTAAATTAAAAAAAAAGAAACTATTCTGTCAAGGTGCTGTTCATGTCCATATTGCCAGATCCTGTGGTCATTTCACAAGTCTCATACCCTGCTTTATTCCCTTCCCTGCTATTAATGTGTTTCAGTCCATTGTCACTCGGTTTTCATCTTTGTTTACTACTCCTCATTTGCCCTTGCCAAATGCACCTTTATATTCTTGACATCAAGAAGTCTCGGGCTCATTATATGGACTGCTCTCTTCTGTTCAGTCATTTCCTAAGGGCCCTCAGAATGAGAACTATCTTAGTGTCTATTTTGACTCCTCTCCCTTGGGACTCCAGATTCAGCGTGCATTGTTTTCTTGTGTCTTCTAGGCATCTCACTTACGGTGTCCAAAACCATTCTTTTTCTTGCCCGTGCTTATCTTGTTCCAATCAACTATAGTCCCATGTGTAGTTTTCTGCTTTTAGTAAGTTGCCATTGCAGTTATTTTTATCAGTTATAAAACCAGACATTCTAGACTACTTGGTGTATTATCAGATTTCAATAGCACTTTCTTCAGAGTAGGGTGTGACCCTTCTCTTGTGTCTCTACTATGACTCTGGGCTCCTGCAAGTCATATCTCATTACCTTTCTCCTCAAAAACCAACAAGTGTGTATTCCATTTTACTCACAAGCAAAGCCTAGTGGCTTTTAAGGTACTCACTATATCTTCCACAGGCGAGGCCTTCCATGAGGGATCATCAAAGTGTGTCACATCATTTGTGCACTAGGGATAAACACTGGTTTAACTGTCAGAGGCCCATAGACTGCCCAGGCCTCCTAACTGGCACCCACATTCAGAGGGCTTGGTTCGGTCCATTGCGGGTTCTCCAGCTTTATGACTGAGGTCCATGTACTCTCACTTGGTCAGGTCTGCTGTTTCTGTGGGTTTCTCCAGTATGGTCTTGACCCCTTTGCTCATCACTCCTCCCTCTCTATAACTGGATTCCAAGAGTATGGCTCAGTGCTTAGCTGTGCTGTCAGCATCTGCTTCCATCAGCTACTGGATAGAGGGTCTATGATGGCATTTAAGGTAGTCATCAATCTCGTTATGGGGAAAGGGCATTTAAGGCAGCCTTTCCACTATTGCTCAGATTCTTAGTTGGGGTCATCCTTGTGGATCTCTGGACATTTCTCTTAAAACCTACAATGGCTCCCTCTATTAAGGTATCTCTTTTCTTGCTCTCCTAACTGTCACTATCTCTTACACCACTTGTGCTTCTTGCTCACTTTGTTACAATCACCTTGTCCTTTTTTCTATTCCTTGAACATAATCGAATTCTAAAACCTGAAAGGCTTCTTTTTCTTAGCCTAATGTGTGTTTTTCTAGACTGCTGATAATGGTTCCTCTGGTTTCCTTGCGTGAAGCCTTATCTGAAAGGAAACGAAAACTCTTTGTCCTATTACTTCTGTTACTATTTACCATGCTGTTTCTCTTCTTTAACTATTGGCATACTATGTATTAAATGACTTGTTTTTCTTACAAAACATAGCGCTATAAAAGTAGACACTTAGTTTTTCTTCCTTAGTAACATCTCAGTGCTTAAATAACAGTGTTTGACACTTTGTGTATATTTAATAAATTATCAAATGAATATAAATGGATATTTAATAGATTTCCTGTTCATATCAATTGGATGCACAATTCATTATTTAGTTTAGCTAATTAAGTGTTTTTCTCCTTCCACAGTGCAATGGTTAGTTCTGTTCAAGGAAACTCCTATCCCAGTCAGGCTTCAATATATAGTCCTGCTGCTGCTGCTGCTGCTGTACCTGTACCTATACCTGCTGCTGTACCTGTGCCTGCTGATGTCACCATATACCAGAACGCAGGACCTAATATGCCCCAGGTGCCAAACTATACTTTAACATCAACCCTGCCTCAAGCAGGAGGCAGCCAACAGCCACCTCAGCCACAGCAAGCATATTCTCAGAAGGCTCTGCTATAGGACCCGATGTTCCTTTTGGTGGCATGTTTCTGCTAAATGCCATTGACAATGTTAGGAGATTCGTTAACACCCTAAGATTTGTTTTCCTCAGCTTATAGGAATCTGTCTTGGTCAACAAGTTCAAATACTCAAGAGGGTAGAACTGTGTTCGATTTGCACTGACTTTTTAGAGGTCTGCCCGTCCCCCAGAGGAATGAAACTACTTACAACATTTATTTCCTTTCATAATATGAAGAATTGTTACAAGATGATTGTCTTGTAAAATTACCTGGTCTGCAACACTCAAAAGTTCAAAAACTGCTGTGGCAAATGTCATGTACATATATTGACATGTAACTTCATTAGTGACCATTTGAATTACAATGGTGATCATGTGAATATATTTAACACTGTGTTAAATTAATTTACATTGCTGTATTATTTTAATCATGAACAACTACCATGTTTGCTAATGTTTTGTGTAAATTTAAGATAAGTACACTATCTTTTTGAGCTGCGAGAAAACCAAGTTGTAGCACATTGACCCGAAGGCATTGTTGTCCTGTTGTAGTGTTACATTAAATTGAACCTTTCTTTTACTAATTAGGAGCAAAATCTACGTATGTTATGTCTTTTGTAGTTCCTACCCACTACTGGCTGTCATCGAACCGGCAGACAGTAGCCACATTTTTTTGGTACAGTTAGAAGAGATTAATGTTCCCTTTAAACTTTTATATTTTGGCATGATGTTCCAGGTATTGTGGACCATGAGATAAAAATTAGTCTTTATATCTTATTTTTAAAGAAGTAATGTTGATTTACTTTTCTCTAGTTGAAGGTGGTAATTAGGTTTTAAAGCTGTATACTGTGTTTATTGGTAGCAGTGACACCAAAGATAGAGGCAATGCCTAGAAACTTTTCAACTGGAACTAACACTACATTTTCAGAATCTCTTGTAATTTTAAAAATATAAACAAAATTTGATTCACTTGTCTTACCCCCTTTTTAACCATGTCTTTGACACATTGTATCTTTCAATTCTCATTAAAATGGCTATAAGTAGGTGTTTGAAAGTAATTTATATTCCTAATTTTGTTTAATAGTTTATATATTTATTGTTAAGTTTCAAACTGGAGTTTTTTTTTCTTCTGTCTCATTTGTAGTTCTGTTGGAATTATTTTTGCTTCTTATTTAGGAGTGTTTTAATGAATTATTTTAATCCATACAAAAAGGTTTTCCACTGACATTTTAGTCACACATATTTATAATTTCCCTGGTTGTACTATAACAGTATTTAAATAACCTAAAATTTGGGTACCATGTTTAACTGATAGACCTGAATTTTCCTCCTATGAATGCAAATTATATTTGCATTTCCAAGACTTGTCTGTTTCCTTTTTAAAAGTGACTTCAGCTTTGGCAGATAATCTTTTTGGGGGGGGGCGGTTATGAGACAGGGTTTCTCTGTATTGTTTTGGAGGCTGTCGGTCCAGCCCAGCCTCGGACTCACAGAGATCCGCCTGCCTCTGCCTCCGGAGTGCTGGGATTAAAGGTGTGCGCCGCCACCACCTGGCTCAGTTTTGGCAGATAATCTTAAGGGTGATTAATTCTCAGATTTATATTTAAAGCCCTTTTCACCCTTTAGTTTACGTGAATTTAAAGTATGTCTCCATCAAGTAGTAAAGTTAAATTTTTAATTTACATGTCACAGTTTAAATATTTTTTAATAAAACCTTGCTAGCAGTTAGATTGTAATCTTTTATTCCAAGTTAAGTATGGTTTCAGTGGTATACTTTCCTCTGAGTTATATTGTATTTTCATTTTAATAAGTTCCTGTTTGCAATTATATTCCCATTTTAATTTTTGATACCTTCATGTTAAAATATCAACAAAATATTTTTAGTACCTTTGTTACCCTGTAAGTTCTTCAGTGGTGAAATGAACAAAAAGTTACCAATTTTACAATGCGTATGTATTCTTTATTATGTATTAGAGTGTATAAAGAGTTAAATGAGTGATTGACATTGATTCTAAGTGACTAATTGTTAAGCATGCAAGTACTTGGTAGAAAAGTCACAGTGAAAATGAAGCACTGGTCTTTCTTCCTTCATGTGGCATGCATGACAGGGTAGAAGATGGGGCTAATTGGAATCACAAATAGTTTTGTTTAAAGTCCTACACAAGCTATACTTAAAGAAAATCTTTGCTGTGTGTGATTAATCTTGGCACTCATGAGGCAGAGGCAGGTGCATCTCTGTGAGTTTGAGGACAGCCTGACCTATACAGTGAGTTCTAGTCCAGCCAGGCTACATAATGAGAAAATGTCTCAAAAACCAAACACCAACAACAACAAAAAGCAATTTTCATTGATAGCTGTCCATATTTTTGATAAAATAGACTAACTCACAAATCAAATTATGTGTAGAGTAAATGTCTATGAATTTTTGGTTTATTCCTTTTTTTAAGTTTGAGAAATGTTTCTATAAAAATGACAACTAACCAAGGCAAAATACAGCTCTTTCTATCCTGCAGTTCCCATCATAATTGGATGTGATAACATGTCAGTACCCTGAAATTAACTAGGTGTGACTTATGCTATGTGCTAATATGATTTCATAGACTTCCCTGACCCTTTGATAGTCTGTCACTGTTACCTGTCACCCCCAACTTGGGGAAGGACATTTTTCTAATACATGCCCAGAAGTGCCCTTTTTACTAACTACTTCTGGAACATTTTTTTCTTCCTCTTTGCTTTCAATACGTAAAAGTGCTCAATAAATCAGCCATCATTCATTTCTAATATAGAGGACTTTCATGTGTGACATCTGTCTCATTGAACTTGAAAATATCCTTTGTCCAGTGCTTAAGTTTGTGTTAGATTAATGCCCTGCATAATAAACTGTGCAACTCCAACAAATTGTACAACTTATTTCCTAATATGATGTTTATTGGTATAATTGGTCGTCATTTTGCCGAATAAACATTAAAATGATTGTTTTATTTTTCTTACCTATTATCTTGTTTTGCTTACCAATTATATAATAATAATAATAGCTTCCTATTGCTCCTTTTTATGTTAATAACAAAACTAAAGTTTAAAATTGTGATTCATTTTTTCCCAAAGATTTTTGTTAGTTTTTAAATTTTGGTTTCTTGGGGGTTCGTAACTGCTTGTATCCTTAGTATAAAGAAAATATAGAAGGAATTGTCTAAGGTAGTGTTTTCAGTTATCTTTCATCTTGGAAGGTGAGTAGGGACTACTAAATTGGCTGATGCTTTGGGTGGTGCTCTCTCCACCAGCTATCTGCACAGAGAAGTTTCAGTCCTACAGAGAGGCTTCACCAAAAATGGAAAGAAGAAAGCATCAACAACACAAATATCCTTCTTGTAGACTCACTAATTACTAACATTTTGCTTTATGTCTTTGTATGTATTTATATACACGTATATTTTTACGTGGATGTACATGTGTATACACACGCACCTACTTTATTAAATGTATAAACATGCTACAAATGGAAGTTGGATACATGACTACTTCATGTTTCCTGTAAGAATAAGAACAGCCTCCCATATAATCTAAATCAAGAAAACTGACAGTGATTCTTAAGATGTTATTACCATTAAATACCCTCTAAACTGTCATATATATATGTAAGTACAATATATACTATTTATCCTTAAATCTAGGATCCATTCTAGGAATATATGCCACCCATATAATGTCCCTTCATTCTGTTATTAATGTAGATTAGTCCCCATTGTCATTTTTCTGTACTCTCATATTGACTTTTAAAGATCCATACACACCATGTCAATAGAATCACCCACATTCTAGATGTTTTGTTTCTTGAACTTGATTTTTTTTATATCCAATGGAAATTTTTATTATCTTATTTAATTTTTATACTTTATTTATAAAAAAGCATTGTAAATAATAAACACACACCAAGGTTACCCATAACAAAAGACCACAAACCAAATTAACTTCTATACAGTTAAAATAGGCATTCAGAATGCAAACTGGGGAGCTTCATATTGGGTTTTATACTTTCACTATCATATATATATATATATATATATATATGGGTTTTTTTTTTTTTTTTGGTTTTCGAAACAGGATTTCTCTGTGGTTTTTGGATGCTGTCCTGGAACTAGCTCTAGTCACAGAGATCCTAATGCCTCTACCTCTCGAGTGCTGGGATTAAAGGTGTGTGCCACCACTGCCCGGCTCAAATATATTTTTATGCTCTCATCCATCACCCAAAATCTGAAAATCCATTCTCATTAAAGTGACTCATTCCTGAAAGATATATAATCACAGCCCACATGACTTGTACATAAAAGTGATGAAACTACAGGCTGGGATTTGTCTCATCAGGTAAGAGTATTTACAACACAAGCTTGACGATATGAGTTCAAATCCCCCGAATGCACATAAAAGAACTAGATGTAGTCATGTTTCCATATACCCCATATGTGAGAAGTGGCATCTGGGGCTTGTTGACAGCTGGCTTAGCTCCAGTTTCAGTGTGAGACATGGTCTTACGGGAATATGGCAGTGAGTGGCAGGGCAGTGCACATGATGGTCTCTGGCTTCCCTGAGTGTGCATAGGTACACCCACACACACAAGTGTGCAGAGTCTACATAGAGACCACACATACATGTGTGAGAAAGTAGTGAAACAAGCTTTTCACTCTCAGAAACTGCACATATAAATGACTGTGGTTAACCTTAGTTTCTGCCTGCTGTGTATAACTGCCCTTGCTTAGGTCCCTGAGGCCAGGGGAAGGTGCGGCAGCCTTGTTTTCATTTTCAGTAGTATTCAGAGAGGTGGAGAAAATTATGCTGAAAACAACAGCTATATTCACATACCCATTTGACTCAGGCTGGATAGCTTTGAGGTAATTTCAAAGGTGCTGTATTATAGAAGGACTATTTTCAGATAATACACATTTGGTTTGCTTGTAAAAGATTTCTTCTTTACCTAGTGACTGTCAGTACCAGGATGCTAAAAGGGCAAGGGAATTCTTTTTTAAAAATCAGAATTGCTAATTTCCTTCAGTTGGTTACCAAATTGGAGTCAGGTTGAGGGAAGCATAGTGAAGTTATAAACACATGCAAGATGCAATAATGAACACCATTAGACTTTAAGGATTCGGAATTAAGTCCTACTTCATTAATGAATTAAGAAATACAACTAATTAATGTTTTTTGGAAGATGTGTATATTCATGATAAATGTATATTTTAAAGACAAACATGACAGTTGAGAAGGTTTTTTTGTTAAATTCACAGTATGGAATATCTGCTAGTTAGGTCAGATCTCACATGGAAATTTTATATAAAGTATACATAAGGCAAAAAGAAGCATACATAAAATATTTTTTCTCAAAACCAAAGTTACTGAAAAATTAATCTTCAAAGGGGTTGCTAAAACTTACTGAAAAGGTAAACATACAGATAAATTCACTTTTAAGAAGCTTCATAATAAGTTCATTGATATAATTGGATAGATAGCACAAGGTAAAATAGTGGCATTAACTTTCATTGTAAATGTTATACTTTGTTGTCATAAAGATTTCTTAGAAAGGAAGTACTTGATGGTAGTGATAGTATTTTTGCATTGGAGATAAGAGAAGTAGATATATTTATGTGTATATATATATGTCATATAAATATATTTGCTGTATTTGTACACACATCCATTCTATTAAATGGAAATTTCAGTTTTTGCCATAGAAATTCAGAGGACTATAACAGAGATACAACTTTTCTCAGAACTTTCTTCATCATGAATGATCTTGGGCAGCTTTGTGGTTCCTCCAAGACGTGCCTTCTACTTATTTTGTATTTACAGTGCTGTGTACCTACAGAATCAGTGGTAGTCTCTGCTTCCTGTCTTCTACTTCCGTCTGAAATATCCAGCCATTTGGCCTGAGTAACTTAACTCATTACGTAAGTTAACCTGTGTTAACTTAGATGAGGAGAGTGTGGCACGGGGCTGGATATAGTGACACTGGAGTTGCATATTTCTAGCATAGATGTGGAAACTTCTTTTCTGAACATCCTTTAGTGACACTGATGCTCTCAGCAAGCCATCGAGCCTTTTCCCATAGATTCCCTGCCAAAACATAGGCTCTCTGGAAGAAGGGTTTTCTTTTCATAGTAGCCCTTCCTGTTCTATTGGTTCTGAGCTGGTTGTAATCATCATAATAATCATCACAGCACCCAGGCATAGAGAGTATTTGTATACTTAAACCAAAGAAGAAAGGTAGCCAAAGATTTGAGATTTTATTTTACTGGTGTTCTCGTGTGTGGTGTAGTAGTAGTCTTGATCCTCAAACAAAATGGTGGTGGTGCTGTTCAAGTTTCCTTTTACATTTCCAACCACAGTTTTCCCTCTCATCTTCCCCCTCCCAGTCCACTTCTCATGTGTACAAACTCCCATGAGGAGTCAGCAAAGTGACATGTTAAGTTGGGGCAGGACCAGACCCCTCTCCCATGCATTAAGGGTGAACATGACATCCCATCATAGGGATTGGGCTCTAACAAGCTAGCTCATGTACCAGGGTTAAATTCTGGTCCTATTGCCAGGGTCCCCTCAGATAAGCCAAGCTTCACAACTGTCAGAAACTATAATGTGACATTGAAGTTTCTATCCTTGGTGCTAGTTAAGAACTCATTGAATACATTGCAGATGAGGCACAAGGTCAGCATCAAGGTAAATGCCACTATATGCTAATTAGTCTGAAGTTACCAATGTAAAATTTAATGCTGGCTATTAGGTTTATTTTCATGAACCTTTTAATTTTGTTTCACACAATAGTCATACAGAATCGTGGGGTTTTGTTGTGATGTTTTCATACTTGGATGTTTGTACTTTGGTCATCCTCATTCTCCATTACCTGTCCACTCCCACTATTCCCCTGGTAGTCCCCCTTCCATGTTCATGCTGCTTAAAATTTTTTTTAAACTTTGTTTTTCAGGTTTTTAAAATTATTTTTAAGTTTAAATTTAGATTAGAAACAAGGTTACTTCACAAGTCAGTTCCAGGTCCCTCTCCGTTTCTCTCCCCTCCTCTCGTGCCCTCCTTCCAACCCCCCCCCCCAGTATTCCCTCATTTCCCCAGGGAGGGTGAGGCCCTCCATGGGGGTGTCCACAGTCTGTCATTTCATCCAGGGCAGGGCCCAGACCCTCCCCCAAGAGTTCAGGGTGAGAGTGCATCTCACATTGTTGGATGGGAGTCCAAAGTCCATGTGTATACTTGGGATGAGTACTGATCTACTACCCAAGGCTCAATAGATTACCTAGGCCTCCTCACTGACACCCACATTCAGGGGGTCTTAATCAGTCCCATAAAGTTTTTATACTTTTTACAGCTACATAAAAATAATTCCAAGGATAAAATATATTTATGTTTAATTTTTCTGCTGGACACTAAATTAGATAACTTGTTGGTATTTAAAAATTTCAAGCTATTTTCTGTTATAATGGAATCCAGTGAAGATATAGTGGCTTTCTTTGAGTATAGAATAAACATGTACTTCCTCTTGGTAAGCAGATGATTTGGGGAAGAAGTTTGTTTGTTTGTTTTTGAGTCTTGTAACCAAGGCTGCCCTTGAACTTGTGCCTCATCATCCCTAGTGTGCCACCATGCCTGGCCAGCCCTTTTCTTTTTTATTTCTTTGCTTTTATGTTTCTTTTTCTCTGTCTCATTATGAATTCTTTCAGAAGTAGTCCCAGAATGAATGGAATATTCAGGTTTATTCCTTCAATGGCAGAATATGTGTGTGCCACAGTGAATACTGACTTCACACTTGTTTCACATTTTCCTTTTTCTTTCCTTTAAAAACAACTCATACTCTAATAGGACTTGGTGAGATATTTCAACATCAAAACAAGGGCCATCTATTATGTGCGTAGTTGGCAAATATTAGTTTAAATGGAGAGAGACGAAGTCTAGATTCTTTTCAAGGTAGCTTTATATGCTTTGAAGC